ACCCACCAGCCTCTCTTGAGGGGAGAAAGATATGGCAGTCTGGTTCGTTAAAGAGTTACAGTCCTAGCAACAGTTCTACTCTGTGCTATAGGGTCACTGTGAGTGAGAATCGACTTGACAGTGTGGGTTTGGTTTGGTTTGGTGGCTGTGGGGCCAGGTGTCCTTATTTTACCAGCCTTGCTAAGGTTTACGAATTCCAGGCCCATTCTTTCATTTTATATTGGATAATAGCCATTTGAGTTGCTATGGTGGTGTAGTGCCTAAAGCACTTGACTGCTAACAAGAAGGCTGGCAGTTCAAACCCACCAGCCACTCCTTGGAAGGAAGGTTGGGCAATCTTCTTCCATAGTAATACCACCTCGGAGTCAGATCTGACTCCACAGTTGTGTGTTTGGATGGGGAGCTCTGGTAGCATAGTGCCTAAGGTGCTTTTGACTGCTAACCAGGAGGCTGGTGGTTCAAACCCACCAGCCACATCTCAGAAGGAAGGTTGGGCAATCTACTTCCGTAGTGATACTGCCTTGGAAACCCAAGGAGGGGTCACTATGAGTCAGGTCCGACTTGACGGCACATAACAACAACAACATAGCCATTTGTGCCCATCCTTTCCCAACACATAGAAAGAAGCAAGGAATAGACTATATCAGAAGACCCTTGAATAATCATGCCAAGCAAACAGGGGTTGGGGGTTCAGTTTTGAAGGTATGAGAATTCTTCCCTTACCTGTAAACCCTCAGTAACTGGAATAGCACAGTGTCCTAAGGCTTGGGTTAGTCCATTCCCAGGGGAAAACTTTTAAGTGTTATAAAGTAGAGGAAATAAAAGTCTAAGATAGTTCTTCAGCTTTTGTCTATGTCCTGAGCATTTTAAAATGCTTGTTACTTTCTAATATTTCTATATAAAGCCCTCTTCTCAATGTCCCGAGTGAGAAAAAGTTGTTATTGGGTATCCATTCTGCCAATCATCTCAGTCTTAAAAGAGAAAGCTGGTTTAGGAGAGAAGCATGAGGAGCCTTATTAACATCAGCTGGACTTGATGAAACTTTGTTTCAGTTGCTGCTTGGACACCTGACTCAATTCAATGAAAGAGACTTCACCTGCCAAGAGCCAAGAAATGAGTGTGGACAAAAATCAGGAGAAAAATAGAGAGATTGCCTCTTACAGTTTGGAATGCTTCACTCAACACCTTACAAAAATTAACCTCTTTAAAAAAAATAAATAAAAATAACCTCTTTATTATATGGGGTTCTGGCAAGGAGAAGAGATTCTCTCCAAATCTTTGGCCAGCAATTCCCCTATAACAGGAAATGAACACCAAACCGAACTAAATCCAGAAACAGTTAAGCTCTTGCCTCTGAAGAGCGGGGCATGAATCAAGGTGGCAGAGCAGCCTCTTCATTATAAACTCTTCCAAGTGCTGTTTTGTCTTGACTAATAGAAAAATTAAGTAAGTATTTTTAAGTGGTTTTCTCCTCACTCTGCTCTGGAGCCACACCACCCTGGCCCTGGCGCAGTCCTGGGCCTCACTCAGCCAGCCCCCGGTGGGTAGAACAGGCCTCAGAGGTTGCCTCCTCAGAACACCAGGCCACAGAGAGGTTAAGTGAGATGCTGACGTCACACACCTGATGGGACAGAGCCAGGACAGGAGACCCTGGGGTCCTTTAGCTCTTGGTCTTTTCATGGGGGCTCCACCCAGTCTCTTCAGCTCCAACCACCCAGCCTGTGGCTTTCAGACAAATTCCACCTGAAAAGTTTGACTTCTGGGGTCCGGGATCACCATTGGCTCCCCCCCCCTTGAGTTGAGGCACATGGACAAAACATGGGGGCTTCTGTCCTGGAGGAGAATAGCAGTGTGTCCAGACAGCCCCAAGGGGGACTGTGACAGCGGTGATACCTGCTCGCCTGCCTGTGCCAGGTTCTGTGCTAAGCCCTTCACATGCATTACCTCACTGGCTCCTCCAAAAAGCCTGTACACGTGTGAAGCAGTACTACTATCCCGCCACTCCTCCAGCCCCTGTTTTACAGGTGAGGAACCAGGTTAAAGTTTAGACTGAATTTGGACCTTTGGGCTCCAAGCTCAGGGTTCACCCCATGACGCACAGCCTATTAAATCTAAGATTTCATTTTAGAGATCAGGGCATGTGAACACATAAAGGGTAGAAGCTGCAGATATAGGGAGTGTTTTTGAAACAAGCTTGGCTACTCCTGGATGTGTTGTGTCTGCCGTCTTCCCTCAGGGCACTAAGAGAAATTCCAGAGGGATGTCAGGGAGATGAAGAGGTAAGAGGATGAGAGAAAGGGAGAGGAGGAAGGGGAAAGGAGGGGAACAGGAGAAGGTTGGACTGGGGCAGAGGCTGGAGGGGCAGGTAGGTCCTGCCTTCAGGAGCCAGTACAAAGCCTATTCATCCTTCATTGGGGCTTGCCGAGGCCCTCTGGTGAGAGCAGCTGGATCCTACCCCCTCGCCCCCCATGGCTGCCCACAGAGACAGGTGTCCTGCTCAGGATAAACCAGTTGATGCCACATTTAGTTGACAATCCAGGTGACACATAGGTCCCAAACAGAGCAAGTGGTACAGGTTGTAGAGCTGTGCCCAAGAAAGCCAGCTGCCAAGCTGCTGTCATTGTATAATTTCCTGTTGTGAAATGAATAATATAAAATAGCATCCACTTAGGAGAAGAGTCAGGAGAACAATGCCACAAACTCACCAGGGGTCACCTCCGGAGAGCTCAGGTTGGGGAGGATTTTAACTTCCTGATTTCTGTACATTTCCACAACGTTCAAATGTTTAACAGTGCATGTGCAATGCTTTGGTAACCAGAATGACAAGCAAAATATGTTTTTAGAAAAGAGGGGATACCTTGACCTCTGTCCATTGTCTTTCCCAAAATTCTAAACAGGGCTCTGAGTGAGTTCACTCCGGTTCAGCATCCTGCTGAGAATTTGCGTTACCACCCCAGGTGTACTGAATTAGAATCCGCATTTTAACAAGATCCCCAGGTGATTCGTATAGATGCCCAGGTGATTCTTATGTATATTATGGGGATCTTGATAAAATGTGGATTCTGATTCAGTGCATCTGGGGTGGAAATGCAAATTCTTATCAGGGGATGAATCAGAATGAACCAACTTGAAGTCCTGCTTCTAAGAAACCAGAATACCAGGGAATTCCTCCACCCTGGATTATCAGGAAGTACTTAGGAATCATAAAGGATTTTGTCCTGAGTGTATTCGATTAATTATTAAGATGTTGTCAATCCTTTATCTTCAGATAAATTTTATGTTTAGTGTGAAGCTTGAAAAACTAAAGAGTTTGTCCCTTGGACTTTGCACACTGTTGCTAAGGTGTTAGTTTAAAAAAGAAATAAAGAAAGAAATCAAGGGGAAAATTGTGTGATTTTGTTTTGTTTTTGTGATCAGAAACACTGACAATTTTTGGCAGCTGCTCTGCCTTCCTTGTCCTCAAGCTTAGGAAAGTAGGTTGCTGTTATAATTCTGATACAGGAGAAAGGGACCCTGGGTAAGATGCAGAATGACAGATAAAATGCGTGATCCAAAAATCTGAGGGGAGGAGGGGAAGGGTGAGAATAGTACTGATGGGCTTCCTGGAAAAGGTGGGCCTAGAGCAAGGCCTAGAAGCAGTCAATTTGAAAGTAGAGGAGAGTGAAGAGGAGGGAATCTCAGGTGGGGAGGCAGATTCAGCTAGAGGACAAATTCAGGCCTATATAGTGGAGGCCACACTTCCCTTTTTCCTTTCCCTGAGAAAGGGTTGGGGTCTCTACCAACAACCATGGCCTGGCCTCTGAGAGTGCTGGACAGAGCTGGGGAGGCCCAGCCTACTCCAACTCTGGACTCTGCCCAGAAATTTCCTGTTGAGATGAGAAGACAAGGCAAAGCATAACAAGTAAGACCCAGCCTGTCCCACAGGAACAGACTTCTCCATCTCTCCTGAGAGTGACTTGTTCCCTACAACATGTGAGTAGGAATGTGATCTTGTCTCTCTCCTTGCAGCTGGGTGTGTGTCAGTGTCTGTGCTTATGTGACTGTGTGTACACAGGTAGCTGAGCTTTCTGGGGCTCTGTCTGTGCATATGTGTGCATGCCTCTGGATATGTCAGCTCAACTAGGCTGGAGTTTGGATAGAGTAGGATACTCTCCCAAGGACAAAAAGGATTGAGAGTAGCAGGTGGGAGAGATGGCATCTTAGTTAAAAATGAAAACTTATTGTCATCGAGTCTGATATGACCCATAGTGACCCCTCCTTGGGTTTCTGAGGCAGTATCACTACGGTAGATCGCCCAACCTTCCTTCTGAAAAGTGGCTGGTGGGTTTGAACTGCCAGCCTTCTGGTTAGCAGCCAAATGCCTTAGGGACTGTGCCACCAGAACTCCCGGAATCTTAGTTAGGACTGTTAATTACAAATGAACTTAAACCTATAAAATGAGTTTCAGCATAAAAGGGAATATATTGGCTTTTGTAATTGAAAACTCCAGGGGTAGGACTAGTTTCAGGTATAGCTAGATTCAGGGACTCGAATGCTGTCTTCAGGATATTGTCTCTTCAACCATCAGTGGTGGAAAGTATAACACAGTGAAGGTATCACTTAATAGCAGTGGTTTTAAACTTTTTGTGGAAAGCGATAAAAGATAGAACTTCTCTTCAGAAAAATGCCTATATTGGATGCATACACATGCTGTACATAATTCCTTATTTTCTTTCCCTGTTTCTGCTTGGCCTCCCACAATTTAGAAGAATTGTTTCTCACAGGCTCTGAAGTGAGTGAAGCAAGGCCTCACATGGTGTCGTCCTCTGTGTGCTGTGGCCGCCACGCATGGTAAAGGTGAAGCTTTGAGGTAGCATAAGTGGCTGCCAGGCAAGGCTCTGTCTGTGTCAGGCACCTGGTCCCCCACCCAGCCCTTTCTCCTTTCTCAGTCTTCCCAGGGCCTTAGCCTGGGTCCTGCCTGGCCTCTCCCTTTTAGCTTTGAATTTGTCTTTCAGCTGGAAGGTCTGGTGCATGGAGGAAGATACATCAAGACAAAGAGACTCTATCTCTCTCACACCCATGGCCAACGGTCTGGAGAACCAGGGGGCTGAGTTCTTGGAAAGCCTGGTCTGTTCCTTTCCCCATCCACCATCTTGGCCTCCTGGTATTGAGCCCAGCCCATGGTGGCAAGGGCCTTTGTTCATCATCTCCCTTCATACCCCTCTCTACTTGTGCCTTCTCCTCACTTCATTGCTTGAACATTTAGGAAATCCCCCATGTATTGGCCTCCTCAGTACAAAGCCCCTTTTATTTTCTTCATTAAACATTTACTTGAGCACCTACTATGTGCAAGTCTAGCCTGTCCTAGTCTGGAAAGTCAGAGAAGATCTCAATGAAGAAGTGATATTTGAGCAATGATCTAATGGATGAGTAGGAGGAATCAGATGATGGTGAGGGAAGGGTCACTTAGGAAGTCCCAGCCTTCAAGGAACTCATAGTCCAGTGCTCACTCTGAAATGGCCAGGCTGAGGCCTACCACCCAGCACTCTGGAGCCTAACTTGACACCCTCTTTTCTCCCTGCTAACATGTAAAGCCTCCTCCCCCTTCATTGCACTGCACAACCCTGAAGTGTGCTTTTCACTCTGTAATCTGCAAGAATGACCAGTTAAAAAACCAACAGTGGCGTTAGCTCCAACTCTTGGGGACCCCATGTGTGTCAAAATAGAACTATGTTCCATAAGGTTTTCAATGACTGATTTTTTGGAAGTAGATCACCAGGCTTTTCTTCTGAGGCACCTTTGGATGGTCTCGATCTTTTGGTTAGCAGCTTAGAGTATTAACCATTTGTACTACCCAGGGACTGATACTCCCTGGAAAACAATTCCACATACACTACATAGTGGCCCTACCTGGAACCTTCCATAGGGGCTCCCACTCAGGCCCCCATCGAATCCCAGCAGAGCCAAGAGCACCCCTCCCTCATTCAGACCAAGAGCTCCTTGAGGGCGGGAATTGTGTCTGGCACACAGACCAGCACACAGTAGGCGCTCAGGGTATGCTTTGCTGAAGTTAATTACATTGTCCTCTATTTACTTCTCATGTACAGTTCTGGCCCCTCCCCAGCCCACTCAGGATGTGCTGTGGGTGCACTGGGGGTGGTAGGGCCTCTCACCTTCCCATGCGACTAGCTCTAGCCCTTGTGTGGGTGGCTAGCCCTCTCTGACCTTCCTTTGCTGCCTATAGGAGGAAGGCCGGGGCCCTGGCAGTGACTGGAGTCCTGAAGAGGGTGGGGGCAGTTGGAGCAAGGCAGGATCCAAACCCTTCTCCAGATGGTAAGTGATTTCTGGGAAAGGGGTGGGATGGTCTGGGGAGGGGATCACTGCATGGAATGGCAACTGGAACCTGGCCTCCTGACAGACAGGGGCACCATTAAACTTTTGAAGGAAAGTGAAAACACACTCGAGCCAACACTTGAGAGCAAATGAGCTCTGGAGTTGCTACCTCTGAGACAAGCCAGGCCAGAGGCTCCCAATCTGCTTTTAAGCAGCCAGAATGGAATCCTACTGGGAATCTCAGTATATACTATGGGGTGTTCTAGCTGAAGTGGGGTAGGGGTCTCTGAACCAGGCCAGTTTCTCTCTCAACCTTCCTCATCTGCCTTCTACCACTTGGTCTCTGGGGAACCAAGGAGAACCCCGTCGTTTAGTTTGAGAATCTCTTGACTGGACCAGTTCCCTCACTGAAGCCCAGAGATGAAAAGGGACTGGCCCAGGTCATATAGGCAGCAAATGTTTGCGAGCCTAGAACTTAGCCTTCTGACCCCTAGGTGGGGATCCTCACTAGCCAGACCACCCTTGAGCTGAGGGGAGCATGCCTGGCAGGGGAGATGGAGGAGAGGATTCTGTCTGTCTGCCTCAGCAAGGAGGACTGAGAAGGATGCCCCTTTCCCTCTCAGAAACTCATCCTCTCGGTGGGAAGGTGGGAACAACAGAGAGATGGGTGTGAGGCTCCTCAGAACAGCAGCTTCCAGGGATTCTAGTGACATCCAGTGAGCAACTGCTCAGCTTGTGGACCCCAGAGATATTCAGATACTAGACTGCTAATCAGAAGGTTGGCGGTTCAAACCCACCAGGTGCTCTGTAGAAAGAAGATGGGGCAATCTACATCTGTAAAGATTTACTGCCTTGGTAACCCAGTAGGGGTCACTATGAGTCAGAATCTACTCGATGGCAGTGGGTTTGGTTTTGGTTTTGGACCCTTTCTTCCTGGGACAGATGAGTGACCCAGTGACCCAGGCAAGAACTGGTATCTAAATTGGGCCCTGAAGGAGGTGGGGATGATGGCTGTCAGGCATGGGACAGGCTGTTTTATGTGCCCTTTCTCTGAGAGAGGAGTATCAGAACCCCTATGACAGAAGCAGAAACTGCTGGGTCAAAGGATACATGCCCACAGGGAGGAAGTAACTCTAGGACTGGTGGATGTAAGACAGGGGAGGAAAAGCAGCCCTTGCTGTTTGTGCATGTCTCATCTTGGTTGATTTTCTTCCAAACCCTGGAGGCAGGGATGATCTTTGGGGAATGCGGCTCCAGGCAGAAGGCACAACTGGGGCAGACACAGGGGCAGGAAGGCATGGATGGCCTGAGCCACTTCTAGTTTGCTCTGGGCTGAGGTTGCCTCTGACCCTCAGCCTTCAGTCCTGTGGGAGGTCAAAGCCAGCACCCACCTCACCCCATGTGACCATTTTACTGGGGACATACCTGTGTGGCTTCCACCTGGAAGTGTTGAGGATGCTCACTGGGTAGGATTCTGGGACGGTTATGCATGGACCCTGCTGGGCATCTTCTCAGGAGGAGCCTGCAGCTGGCCACACGAGTGAGACACCTCTGCAGGGAGCATGCACAGCTGTTTGGATGGATCCTCACAGGCCTGCTCTGCACTGGTGAGTCTGGAGCCCAGCCTGGCCCAGGAGACTGCCACTCTCACTGCAGCTATCTGGTTCCCAGCCACTCCCACTCTATCACTGTAGCTCCTGTCACCCAAGTTTCAACCAGCCTCACCGCAGCCATCTCAGTCTTAGGGCAATCACTCAAGAAATACTGACTACCAATTCAGGATCAGCTCCCAAACCAGATACCGGGGCATCAGTGTTTAGCCAGCTGGATCTTGTTCCCAAGGGGCTCCCTAATAAGTAAGGGAGAGAGGAAAATTAGTTCCATATAATCCAATAAGCCATCTGGGAGCAGCACTAAAGAGGGTTGGAAATGACCAGGGGGGCTTCCAGGAGGAGGTGACATTCCTGTCTCACAGGCTGAGTAGGAGTGAACCAGGTGGAGGGGAAATACCATAAGGAATATGAATAACATCACAAGCAGCAGAATCACAGGAGCAAAGGTGAAAAACAGCAGGGTGTGGGCAGGATCAACAAACAATCTAGTGTTGCTGGAGGGTAAAGTTCTGGATAAGGAGCGCCAGAGGATGAGGTTGGAGGGCTATGAAAGGGCTGGGTGGCAGGAATGGGGAGTCATGCTGAGGGACTTGGATTTTACCCTTAAGACCAGAGGGAGCCATTGAAGAGTTTAAGCAGGGAAGTGGCAAGGTCAGAGTCATGCTGTGGAACTCTGGAAGAGGCAGACAGGAAGGACTGGGAGGCAGCGGCTGAGGCCAATAGTGCATATGTGAGAAGATGAAATGATGAAAGATGGGTGGAGATGAATTTTGGAAATCTTTGGAAGGAATAACAGCCAAATTTGGGATCAGACTGGGGACATTGGTGGGGCTTACTTTAGCTCTGGGGTTTTCTCCCACATTTTTTGTCCATGTACATTTTCTTTCTGTCCTTCATGGACCCACCTCCCACCCCAGCCCTGAACTTCAAAAGTCACGAAGAGACACTTTGCCCTTCTGCTTTCTGCTAACACATTGCTTTCTTGAGGCATCAGCACAGATTGGCTTGCTGCTCAAAAGGAAGAAGAGGAAAGGTGGAAAAGGATATTCCAGGAAGAGAATAGTTATGGATATATATTTCAGAACTGGATCCTGGCACCCATATGGGAACTCCTTCATGGAGTAAACTGGCTTGTCCATTTCTGTGTTCCGCATAGAACCCAGTGTACCTCTGGAACCCAGCAGATGCTCCATTGATGCTCAGAGATTCTTGCTGCCTTGCTCTTGGACATGTGTCAGGGCCTCCTTACATATCTCCTCCCTCATATTTGGTCAGCGCTTTACCGTTTGCAAAGCTCTTTCACACAAATCTTGTCAGTTAATTTCTTAACAACCCTCTGACATGGTCAAGACGACTGCTCTTATTTCCAGATGAGGAAACTGAGGCTCAGAGAAGTTGAATGGGTTTCCTGCTCTCCACGCTTGGGGGTGGGGGAGGGGGAAGGTAAGATGGCGTCAGCTGATGGAGCTGCAGGGGCCCGGAGAGGCTGGTGTCATCGCTGAGCCCTGTCTCTGTCTTACCCCATACCCCAGCATTCACTGCCTTCCTGCTGATCGCCTGCCTCCTGGATTTCCAGAGGGCCTTGGCACTGTTTGTCTTCACTTGTGTGGTCCTCACTTTCCTGGCCTACAGCCAGTTGAAGAGACTTCTTGGGCCAAAGCTGATGAGATGTTTCAAGCCTCTTGGAAATTCCCGCCTGAAATTCTGGCTTAACAGGTGAGTGAGCTCCATGGCTTGAGGCATGCCAGGAAGAGTCTGCTCTGCTGTCATAGCCAGGCTAGGTGGAGGTCCTCAGTCCTTATTCCTGGGTCATGGAGAACACATTCCACCCTGCTGGGAGCTCAGAGCAGGAGCAGCTGGGTGGCTTCAAAGTTAGCAACCATCTGTCTTTGCATTTGCCCAGTTCCTATGTGGTTTTCTGCCCCAGTTACAGCAGGTGACTATGACAGCTGGGAACAGGACTCAACACCTCCTAAATTCAGAGATTCCTGCAGGGCGGCCCACATCAGTGCCTCCCATCAGATCACCTGGGATACCTGTGGGACATACGGCTACTGGGAGTGGAGGTGGGGGGGCCACCGTTGGAGTCTGATTCAGCAGGCTGTGGTGGGGTGCAGGTGTTAATATTTTTCATTAGCCCTCAGGGGATTCTGATATAGATAGTCAGCTGTGGCACAGGGTCACAGTTTGGGAACCCTTGGCTTACAAACTGGATTCCTTGCAGCTCTGGGAATCTGGAAGGGCAGGAGAGGGAGCCTGGAGAGGGAACAGCAGACCCCTCACTCTCCACTCATCAGGCAGCTCTAATTTTTGTTTTTCACCCTGAGGTTTACAAGATATGTAACTGGAAAATAAAAAGGTTTCTGTGGCCTAAAAAAAAGTTTGAAGGCTACCAATCTATTTAAATCTTCTATTTTGTTGCTGAAAAAACTGGTGACCAAAGATATTCAATGACTTAGCCAGGACTGTCATACAAGGCACAAGGGTGTTTCCCTAGGTGAGATCCCCATACCACAACCAAATGGTTTGGGCTGGCCTATGAATACAGGAGCTCTGGTAGCATAGTGCCTAAGGCACTTGACTGCTAACCAGAAGGCTGGCGGTTCAAACCCACCAGCCACTCCATGGAAGCAAGACTGGACAATCTTCTGTAAAGATTTACTGCTTCAGAAACCCAATGGAGGTCACTATGACTCAGAATTGACTCAAGGGCAGCAGGTTTTCTTTCTTTTTTTTTTTTTTTTTAATGGATTAGAATACATTTTTTCCCCCTCAGTTCCTTTTCTTTTCTCTAAATATTATTTATTTTGTTGTTGAGAACATACATGGCAAAATACACACCAGTGGAACAGTTTCTGCATATACAATTCAGGGACATTGATCACATTCTTCAGGTTGTGCAACCATTCTCACTCCTTTTCTGAGTTGTTCCTCCTCCATTAACATAAACTCATTGTCCCCCAGGTTCCTAGCTAATGTTTTTAGTTGTTGTCGATTTGATTCCATATGTTGTTGTTGTTATGTGCTGTTAAGTCAGACCCGACTCATAGCAACCCCTCTTTGGGTTTCCGAGGTAGTATCACTATGGAAGTAGATTGCCCAACCTTCCTTCTGAGGAGTGGCTGGTAGGTTTGAACCTCCAGCCTTCTGGTTAGCAGTAAGTGCCTTAGGCACTATGTCACCAGATCCCATATAGATAGTTCTTAAAAGAGCATAATGTTCAAAGTAGGCCTATGTTTTTACTAGTTAAACTAAACTGTGGCTCGGTTTTAAGATGACTTCATATTAGAGATTATCTCAGGGCAATAGTTTCAGGGGTTCATCTAATCTCCATGGCTCCAGAAAGTCTAGAGTCCATGAGAATTTGAAATTCTATAGATGAACAACAAGAAGCAGGTAAATTGGACTTCATAAAAATTTAAAACTTTTTAATCCAAAGAACACCATCAAGAAAGAAAACAGACAAGCCACAGGATGAGAGAGAATATTTGCAAATTCTGTATCTGATAAGGGACTTGTATCCACATTGTGGTTGTTATTGTATGCCATCAAGTTGATCTGACTCATAGGGACCCTACAGGACAGAATAGAATTGCCCCGCTGGGTTTCCTAGGCTATAATCTTTATGGAAGCAGATCATCAGTTTTTTTTTTTTTTTCCTCCTGTGAAGCCATTGGTAGGTTCAAACTGCCCACCTTTCAGATAACAGCTGAACACTTAACCATTGTGCTGCCAGGGCCCCTCTCTGCACACAATTAAAACTCAATAATTAAAAAAACAAATAACCCAATTGAAAAACGGGCATAGGATCCGAATAGTCGTTTCTCCTATATACAAATAGCTAATAGCACATGAAAAGATGCTCAGCATCATTGGCAGTCATGGAAAGGCAAATCAAAGCCATAAGAGAGATACCACTTCAATCTACTAGAATGGCTAGAATCAAAAAACACAGATAATAACAAGTCAAGTGCCTTAGGCACAAGGATGTGGACAAATTGAAACCCTTATAACAGTGCTGGTGGGAATATAAAATTATGCAGGCACTTTAGAAAACAGTTTAGTCATTCTGCAAAATGTTAAACATGAAGTTATCATACAACCCAGTAATTCCACTCATAGGTATATACATAATCCACTGCCATTGAGTTGTTTCTGACTTGTAGTGACTCTTGTTGGATTTTCAAGGCTGTAGATCTTTATGGAAGTAGATTGCCTAATTTTTCTCCCATAGAGCAGTTGGTGAGTTTGAACCACCGACCTTTTAGTTAGCAAGCACATGTCTTACCCACTATACCACCAGAGCTCCTTAGATATATACATAAGAGAAATGAAAACATATGTCCACACAAAAACTTGTTCACAAATGTTCATAGCAACATTATTCATAACAGACAAAAAGAGGAAATAATCCAAATGTCTATCAACTAATGAATGGATAAATAAAAGGTGGTGTCTCCAGATAATGGAATATTACTCAGTCATAAAAAATGAAGTACAGACACATGTTACAACACAGATGGTGATGAACTTATAATACCTGACTTCAAAACTTATTACAAAGCTATAGTAATCAAGATAGTGTGGTTTTGGTATAAAAACAAGTCAATGGATCAGAATACAATCCAGATATAGACCCACACATATATGGTCAATTGATTTCTAACAAGGAAACTAAGGATATTTACTGGATAAATGGTAATTTTCTCAACAAATTGTGCTGGAACAATAGGATAGCCATATGCAAAACAAAACTAGAAAAAAAACTTTGATCTATGCCTCACATCATATTAAATATTGATCCTAGACTGTCTTTTTTTTTTTTTTTTTGTGATTTGGGTGAAAGTTTACAGAGCAAATTCACTTTCCATACAGCAGTTCACACACGCTTTGTCTCATGACATTGACTATAATTTCCCACAATGCAGCAGCTCCCCTCTCACCTCCTCCCCATAGTTACCTCTTGCCTGTGTCCTTCCCTCCCATGCACTCCTGCCCCCTGAGCTGTCTTCCTGTGCATAAACAGCCCTTCTATTCTCCCATGATTATTCTCTCCAAGGAGTGTATCTACCTGTGTAAATGTTCACCTCACATGCCTATCTTTTGTTTGGCTGGAAGCCACAGGTGTGGGTTTAATTCCAGACCTGAAGGGCAGCTAGGGGCTATATTCTCAGTGGTTCATCAGGTTCTATCAGACCAGCAAACCTGGTCCCCCCACCCCTTTATTTTTTAACGATTTTGAGTTTTGTTCCACATTGTTCTCCCTCTCTATCCAGGATCTCCTACACAATCCCCCTCCAAGTAGTTGACAGTGGTAGCCGCCCACCATCTAGTTCTTCTTGTCTCATAGTCATATAGGCTGAGGATTGCATGGTGTACCAGTAGCTTGAACTAATTGTTTCCATGAATCTTTGGTTTTCTTCATTTTTCTTTGCTCTGTACTAGGAGAGACCCACCGTTGTATCTAGATGGCTGCTGGCAAGCTTTTAAGATCCTAGTTGCTACTTGCCAAAGTAGGAGGTGGGAAAATGTTTTGTGCAGTATGTTATGTCAATTGAGCTTGATGTCCCCTATGACTATGGTCCCAACCCCACAGATTCAACTACTCGCTCCCTCTGGGTAGCTGGCTGTGTCCAAGAAGTGGATCCTAGACTGTCTTAATTCCTAGGTCTGCTGTAACAAAATACTACAAACTGGATGGCTTTAAAAAACAGAAATTTATTGTCTCACAGTTTGGAGGTTAGATGTCTGAGTCAGGGTATCAACCATGTTGATTCCTTCTGAGGACTCTGAGAGAAGAACTATTCCATTCTCTCTCCTAACTTCTGGTGGCTCTTTGCAACCTTTCCTGTTTCCTGGCTTGTCGCTGCATCTTCACTTGGCATTTTACCTTTGAGTGTCTCTTTATCTGTTCTCTTCTGTGAGACCACTCAGATGGGATTAGGGCCCACCTTACTTTGGTATGACCTCATTTTAACCTACCTGATAACATCACAAAGACCCTATTTCCAAACAAGGTCTCTTTCACAGGTACAAGGGTTAGGACTTCAACACAATTCGATTTATAACATAGACCAACATGTAAAACCAAAAGCTATAAAGCTTCTAGAAGGAAATGTTGTTAGTTATCATGGAACTGGGGATCCCATGTGTTATAGAGTATAACTGCTCTATTGGGAGTTCCGGTAGCATAGTGCCTAAGGCACTTGACTGCTAACCAGAAGGCTGGTGGTTCAAACCCACTAGCCACTCCTCGGAAGGAACATTGGGCAATCTACTTCCGTAGTGATACCGCCTAGGAAACCCAAGGAGGGGTCGCTATGAGTTGGGGCCGACTCGACGGCATATAACAATAACAACAACATTGGGTTTTCTTGACTTTAATCTTAATGGACGCAGAATGCCAGGCCTTTCCTTCTGTGCCCCTTGGTGGCTTTGAATTACCAACCTTTAGGTTAGCAGTAAAGCACAAACTGTGTCACCTTTGGGCTTTAGGAGAAAATATTTGTAACTTTGGATTAAGTAAAGATTTCTTAGACACAAACTCAAAAATTACAATCCATAAAAAGATTTAACAAATTGTACTTCATCAGAATTAAGAACTTTTGCTTTTCAAAAGACACTGTTAAGAGACTATAAAATGATAAGAAACAACTAGCAGAAAAGTTTTGCAAACTGCATATCTGGCAAAGGATTTGTATCTAAAATATACAAAGAAATGTCAAAATTCAATAATAAGAAAACAAACAACTCAGTTTAAGAATGGTCTCAAAACTGAACAGACATTTTATCAAAGAAAATATGTGAATGGCAAATAAACCCATGGAAAGATGCTCAACATCATTAGTCATTAAGGAAATATGAGTTAAAACCTCTAAGAGACATGATTGTATACCTATTAAACCAAGAAAACCCACTGTCATTGAGTTGGTTCAGACTCAGAGACCCCCCATTGGGTTTCCAAGGCTGTAAATCTTTAGAAGTAGATTGTCCCATCTTCTTTCCTCAGAGCGGCTGGTGGGTTTGAACTGCTGACTTTCTAGTTAGCAGCCAAATGCCTTATCCACTATGCCACCAAAGCTCCTTATATAATTACTACCGGGGGGAAAAAAAAAAAACCAACTCACTGCCGTCGAGTCGGATCTGACTTACAGCGACCTCTCCTTGGGCTTCCGGGGCAGTATCACTAGGGAAGTAGAATTCAAAATATTGACCAGATAGTCTTTTGGCAAGGATATTGAAGAAGTGAAACCTTTATATGCTGCTGTTGGGGATGTAAAATAATAGAATTTGGGAAATAATTTGGTTGTTTCTTAAAAAAAAAAAAATTAGACCCACCCTAGGATCAAGTCATTCCCCTAAGTATTTACCCAAGAGAAATGAAAGCATATACCTGCACAAAGACTAGTATATGGATGTTTGAATGTTCAAAACTACTTTAGCTGTAATAGTCCCAAACTGGAAACAACCTAAATGTCCCTTAATGGGTGAATGGTTAAGTAAATCATAGTAAATCCACACAATGGAATACTACTCAGCAATAAAAAGGAACACAGAATTGACGCATGCAGCAATGAGGATGAGTATCAAAGTAATTATGCTGAGTGAAAAAAAGAGAAAAAAAAGAATATATACTGTATGATGCCATTTATATAAAATTTTAGAAAATGCAAAGTGATCTAGTGACAAAAAGAACCAGTCAACCAAAACTCCAGATCAGTCATTGCCTTAGGGAAGAAAATGGAAGAAAGAGAAGAAAGGGGCTTTAGGAAACTTTTGGGGGTGATGACGACATGTTCACTGCCTCAATTGTGGGGATGTTTCCAGATGTGTACAGAAGTCAAAACTCATCAGACATGTGCAGTTTATTATGTCAATTATACCTCTAATAAAGGTGTTAAAAATAAAATAAGAAACACAAGACATGCATTTAAGTTTTTAAAACGTGAGTCAACTTCAAGAAAAATAGTAAATCAAGAGACGTCCAGGGGACAAAAATAAGGCAAAAATTGTGCCTATGGAACTGGGGTGATAGAAGTTTAGGAAACATAGGGAGATATTTAAGGAATAAATGCTGGAGTTAGCTTTCCTGATTACAGATCCAGAGTCAGCCTCTTCCCGGCCATATAACCATGGCCTGGAAAGAATTGTAGTTAAGAGACTAGACTTTGGAGCCAGAGTGTCTGAGTGTCTCAACTCTACCACTCAGTAGGTGGGTGGCCTTGAACAAGTTATTTAACCTCTCCATGTCTCAATTTCTTCATCTCTAAAATGAGGACAGCAACACGGTATATATAGCTCAGGGAGTCCTGTGAATTCAATGAGAGGAAGCAGGGAAAGCCCTGGGCATAGTACCTGACATGTACCATGTGCTCAATGAACCTTTGCCATCAAGATTAGTATCCAGTGAGTTGATGACCAGCTTGGGGCTAGACCTTAGGCACTTGATGTCCACACTTGGGTGCTCACACACTTCAGGCTGCCTCCTGGACAAGCAAATCCCAGTCCCAGGAGGAAAGAGTTGCTGTAAAGGTCAGATTCAGTCCTTCGTCTCAGATGTTCAGCTTAACATTCCAGACCACCATTATTGCTTCTGGGCTATTGGGGAGCAGAACGCACAGCCCAGAGTGCTGAGTCCTGGGTCCCAGGGCCCACATCAGCCTTCAGAGGATCATTGCTGCTGTGAGAGTTCCTTTCCCTTGATGGAGTCTTTCCATGTGCTTGGCACTGTGCTAAATAAACTCCATATACACATCTGCCTATTTAATCATCTCAGCAACCTTGAGAAACTGGCTCTTTGGTCCCATTTTACTATTGAGGAAATTGAGTCTTAGAGAGACCCAAGACCACACAACTGGATAGGCACTTCTAGCATCTAGCTGATGCTCTTCCCTCTATGCTGTTCTCTCTCCCCTCTCGCCAGCCCTGAGGCCCTGAGGCCCTGGGGCTGTTGTGGGGATAGGGAAGTACTCAGAGTGATGGCTCCCAGCCTTCCTCTACAGGGCTCTCGTCTTTGCTGCTTTGCTGTTCCTGATCCTGTGGCTGATTCTGGACACCTCCCGGCGGCCTGAGCAGCTGGTGTCCTTTGCAGGGATCTGCGTGTTCGTCCTCCTTCTCTTTGCCTGCTCGAAGCATCACCGTGCGGTAAGTGTTTGATCATGAGGCTCAGGCTGGAAGGCAGTGGATGACCTCTCTGGTCTGCCCCTGGACTGGGGCCAGAAGCTAGGGTGGAGCCAGGTGCTCTTGTTGGGATCCTGGGGAAGGCCAACGTGTACCAAGGCAGGCCTCTTGTGGGGCTGCCAGAGGCCTGGGCAGGACCCAAGTCAATGTGGGAGACCCTAGGTCTGGAGACTCCAGGTAGGCCTATCACCTCTCCAAAAACAGAAGCCCTCAATCTCCCCAGTGAGGTAGGAGGTGTTGCCTGGAGAAGCCTGGCTGGCATCTCTCCAGAGTCAGAGGCCATCCTCTGAGTTTCCTCATTATTTCCTTGGTGATATGTCCTCAGGTCTGTAGGCTGAGAAGCCCCTCCAGCATCTGTCAGAGTAGCCAAAGACTTCCTTGTGTGTCATCAAGTTGGTTCCAACTCATATCAACCCTATAGAACAGAATGGAACTGCCCTATAGGGTTTTCTGAAAACCAAAAACCAAACTCACTGCCACTGAGTCTATTTCAACTCATGGTGACCCCTCCTTGGGTTTCCAAGGCAGTATCACTACGGAAGTAGATTGCCCAACCTTTCTTCTGAGGAGTGGCTGGTGGGTTTGAACTACCAGCCTTCTGGTTACCAGTCAAATGCCTTAGGCACTACGCCACCATAGGGTTTTCCAGGCTGTAATATTTTGGGAACAGATCACCAGATCTTTTCTCCCATGGAATGGCTGGTGGGTTCGAAAGACCAACCTTTCTGTTTGAATGCTTAACCACTGCACCATTAGTGGTGCAATGATTAGTGGAATTTTTAGTGATTCTCAAAGTGTGACCCCCAGACCAGCAGCATCCTTTGTTAGAAATACAAATTCTTGGGCTCCAGCCCAGATCTCCTGAATCAGAAACTTTGGGGGTGGGGCCCAACAATCTGCTTCAAAAAGCCCTCCACGTGATCCAAATGTAGTTAAAGCATCCACCTGTCCATTAGGGAAGGCCCCAGCCCCTTCTCTCTCTCTCTCTCCTTCTTTATCTGAGCAACCACTCCTTAATATCAAGATCTGTCCCTGTTTCATAAGATTGCTAATACTTGCCCCCAGGCTACAGTCAAGCCTCCCAGGAAGTTCCAATGCACACATGGCTTTGACATCACTGCATAGAAATTATTAAGTGCTGTGAGGGAACAGCAGCCCTTCTGTATCCACCTCTCTTTTACTGGCGTAGGTCCTCAAGGGAGTGGGGGTCAAGCCTTTGGAGGAAAGAGAAGGAGGGCCTAGGTAGATGGACCCAGTGCTGTTGAGTGAGAGAGGAGCTGGGCCCTGGACAGGCTAGTGCCCAAGTCCTGAGGCCTGACCCCCAACTCCACCTCCCTCTGCCCAGTGATGACCCAGAGACAAAGTGCCATAGCATGCTCATGACTGGCCCAGGTTGACACCAGCCCTTGTATAGACCTTGCCTCACCTCTGCCCACTACCCAGGTTCATTGTGCCAAGCAAGAGTAGCTTATTCTGGATCCCAGGGAGGGTCTGAACACTGGCAGCATCCCCCATCCTACAAACAGGGCCAAAGCTCCCTCACCCTAACCTCCACCCTGTTCCCTCATGGATTCCCGAGCTCACTACAACTTTTCTATTGGTGGCAGGTGTCCTGGAGGGCTGTGTGCTGGGGCCTTGGGTTACAGTTTGTACTTGGACTCTTTGTCATCAGAACGGAACCAGGATTTATTGCATTCCAGTGGCTGGGTGACCAGATTCAGGTACATAGAAGTCCTGGTGATCAGGACATCTTGAGCTGTCCTCTAGGAGAAGCCACTCAGTTGCCAAGGAGTTGGGTGGTCATAGAAAAGGGTTGGGACAAAGAGGATGGTTGTACTGGGGCCTAGGTCAGGCAGGTAGCAGGGGGGCTGGGCAGTGTAGCTGCTATATCTCAGGCCTGGTACCACTGGCTCTGTGACTAGTCCTTTCAAGAACTGGGCTCTGATATGAAAGAGGATCCTAGAACAGGGAGGGTCTTAGGGTACCTGGGCACTGGCATGTGGCCCTCAGTCATCATTAATGATATGGAACTTATAATAGACACACACACACACACCCCCCCCAAACCCATTGAACCATTGCCATCAAGTTGATTTCAACTCATAGCAACTCTACAGGACAGAGTAGAACTGCTCCCAAAGTGTTTCCAAGGCTGTGACCTTTACAGGAACAGACAGCCACAGCTTTCTCCTGTGGTTGGGAGGTTCGAACTGCCAACCTTTCGGTTAGCAGCAGAGGTCCTAACCACTGTGCTACCAGGGGTCCTTTATCTCCCTCTTACCATATTGCATTTCCCTGTCCTCTTAAGCAGGAGTGTGTGGAGTGGAACAGGGGAATCTTATGTGTCCAGGATCTGTGCACATCTGCTGGCCATGCCAAGGACATGTGGAGGGAAAAACTGAGTGTTGCTAATCTGGTCATGTGTCCCATTTTATAGATGGGAACACTGAGGCCTGGACAAGAGAAGTGACTTGTCCCTGCAGTCACTTCACAAGTTCAGGATCTAAATACAGGTCTCCTGTAGAAGTGTGACCAGATTTTAACATCAAAGCTATAGCTTGGCATGGGGACAGGATGATGGTAGGTTGTACCACTGGTTATGAGGGGACTGAGCAGGCAAAACAGGCACCATCTTTGACAGTCTTCTCATGTCTCACAATAGTCTGGCTTCCTTTGTTGTCCTAATATCTCTCATCTCAGAATATTTCTTTAAAATGTATAGAAAATGTGTCTCTTCTGGAGAATGTACTCAAAGGGAGCGAGCACCCAGGATTGGGGCTTTAAGGCACATATGCTTTAAGGCATGTATGATCCAGGTGATACTCAGCCCCCGTAAAAGCTCTGGGCCTGGGGACTGTGTGTCTTTGGGGCCAGAAGAGCCTGCAACCTTGGCAGCTGGGCTAGGCCCTGGTCCTTGGGGAAAGGAACAAAGAGCAGACAAGGCCTCCAGCTCACCCCAGCCTGTGTCCTCCCTGCTCCTTTCCTTGCTTCACTCATGTGTGTATGGGGGTGTGTGCATGCTTGCTTTGCTTTGTTTTCACCTTCCAGACCTTCCTGAGCTATACGGAGGCCGGCTCCAGCTTCGTGTTTGGGGAGGCCCTGATCAAGAACGTCTTTGCCTTTCAGGTCAGCTCAACTCAACTCTTGGCCCGAGAGCCCTTTAGCAGCTGCTGCCCAGATGTTTCCAGAAAATGGGGAGTGAGCAATCTGGGCTGGGCCCAGGCTAAGCACAGAGGGCAGGGTCTGGGGGGAGGGGAAGGATTTCTGTGGGGCAGAGGCCATTCTGGGGAAGCTAAAAAAACTTATGTCTCAGGGCCCCAATAGTATGTGATATGGTTTTGTAAAATTTGCCAAGTAAAATATTTCTGTGTTCTTTTTCTTACAAATACCCCCTCATTATAGTATTGCTGGGGACTGAGGACGGGAAGCAAAAGGGGGTCGGGACAGTGACTCCTGTGACCTTAATGCCTAACTTTTAGTCCTAAAAGGACACTTTCCAGGAATCCTTAGGTTCAAGTGATCCTCTCATGGGGGTCTTCCTTCAAGGTCCCCTGACAGGCCACCTCCCCTAGGAAGTCTACCCTTATTAGTCCAAGTGACCACTCTCTCTTCTGAAGCCTCCAGTTCCTCCCTCCCTCTTTCCTTCCTCTGAACAAAAATTCATTGTGCATAAAATATTATAGGGAAAGTTAAATTAAGACAAAGTTCTACCTCAAAGCTCTTATTTTCTAATGATAACAAGCCTACCCTAATTTAAAACAGGGCAGCCTATGACTAGTAGGCTCCTGTGTGACCTACTCCATTGTTCAGGGTGGAGCTGTGGGTATATTTCCTCTTTCTTCAACTAACTGCTCAAGTACCTAAATGCTCTGTTTAGTAAGAACTTGAGTGTAGGCCTCCTTTGCAGACCTCACATCCCGATGGTCTGAGGACCTTAAGGCTGTTCCAGGCTTAAGCTCCACTTTCCAAGGCCAGGCAGAGAGAGAGACAGAGACCTGGGGCCCAGGTCACCTATTAGCTGGCCCCAGTTTTTGCTGTGGTGTCAGTGTAGCCCAGTATGTCCTGGACCCCAGCACTGAGGAGTAGCTATGCAGGCTCCTGGGGTTTCTGCCTTTTATCATTCACGCTGATGGTCATTCCCAGAGCAGTCCACTCTGCTGGGGGTGTTGAGTCTAGGAGGTATTCAGCCTTAGCCATAGGCTAAGCATTTAGTCTTGGACTTCTGGGCTGGTATGCAGCCAGAGCAGTGCTCCAGATCCAGACACCTTCTGCCCACTCCCAAGCCTGACCTGGCAAATTCCTCTCAGAGGAGGGTGCTCGTCTGTATCAGTACACTTTCTGGAAAATGCACAGTCTATGCAAGGGATACTAATGTCAGCCCTACAAGGAAAGGGGATCGAGACTAGGTTCCTGTCCTCTCAGGAGTCTATTTGTCCCCTGCACAAATTTGCCTACCATATTTCTCTGAGACCAGTTCTGGTGGAAAAGATAGCCTCTGTCAGTTCCCCAAAGGTCCACTAACACCATTCCTTTAAGGCAACAGGGAACTGCTCCCTTCACAGTTGCACATAACCAAGCAGCAAGGAGCACCCAAGGTTTAAGGGAAGAGCAATGGAGACTGCTGTAAGGTGACTTCTTGTGTCCACCCAGACAGAGATGTGGCCAGCAGCTTCTCACCAGTTAAGCAGTTACCATAGAGTTCATTCTTACTCGTGGCGACCTCATGTGTGTCAGAGTAGAACTGTGCTCTATATAGATTTTCAATGGCTGATTTTTTTGAAGTAGATTACCAGGCCTTTCTTCTGACACATTTCTGAGTAGACTCGAACCTCCAACCTTCAGTTAGTAGCCAAACATGTTTGCACCATTGTGCCACCCAGGGATTCCCCCTGTCTATTATAGATGGTCAAGCCAAGAGCCCGAGAGGAGCAGTGATTGGGCTGTAATTAGCCAGTGTGAGTCAGCGTAGAACCAGAGCTGACCTGAGGGGCTGGACTCCGAGTCTTGTGCTGTTTTCTCTACCCAGAAACCACTAATATCCCTAACAACAATATTTTTAAAACATCGTAATAATGGTGGAAGACTTTGAGATTAGATATTCTGTGAGGATAGAAGTGACAAGTGGGATGGTTTGTTTTTAACCAGTCTCAGCTGGTTATTTCCCTGTCAAACACTAGCAGTTTTTTGGCCCCTGGGAGACCCTGTCCTTTGGACAAGTTCCTGGTCAGTGCACTGGCCAATGTCAGCCTTTAAAATGTATCACCAGTGAGGGAACACATAAGACAAAATGCACCATGGCCATGGAATTTCCTTTCTCATGATTCCCTAATCACAGAATTTCATTCATATCTTCTCTCCCTGCATCTCATACATACACACATACCATACACACACTTGCACACACATGGACAGAAACACACAGACACAGACACAGACACATTTCACACACATATGACACTTATACATCATACCAACGCCCATACCACACACACACTCACATACACACACATGCACAGACACACATCTCACACACATACCACATCAATACACATACTTACACACACCACACATGCTTTCCAAGCTTGGGATTTGCCCTCTAAATGGAGGTGATTGTTGAAGTTTGAATCAACAGTTCAGATGTTTTCTTTCAGTTCTTTCCTTGAATTGTGTTGACTAGTCTAAGACCTTTAGTCCAGGGTAGTCCTCTCTGAGCTCACTCAGATTTTCAGAACCCAAGCTACTTCCTGCTAGGCCACAGTCCAGCTGATCACTTCTCCAGGAAGTCAAGTCTCTGCCAAGGGTTTCTTCAGGCCTCAACATACCCTGGGCTTGGAGTCCAGCACAGGTGACATACTGGCTGTCTCTTGGCTGAGACATCTTGATTAGTCATCTTACCTTGACTCCAACCTAGTAACTTTCCACCCACGTGATCAAACACCACTCAACGCCCCCTCCTGGGTCTGGCTGACATGGGAGCGTAACACCTAACATCATTCTCTCACTATTGCTCTAGCTTCTAAAACATGTACCCATTAAATAATCAGCAGTGCTGCTCAGGTTTTCTCTCTAAGGAACCCTTAGGGTGAAAAAAGGGTCTCATCCCCTGAGGGTTTCAGGATCTTTGCCTCAAGCAGCCCTCTGAAATCCTTAGTGGTCAACAGTCTCAAATTAACCTAAAAAAAAAAAAAAGATCAAATAAGATAAGAACTAAAGGTGCTATTGGGTTTGGTAATTAGAGTCAGTGGTAACCTTAATGCCTTAATGGTCCCTGATGGACCCTGGGTGGCTTGATTACTAACCATAAAGCTTGGGAGTTCAAACTCAGTGGCTCCAGAGAAAGACCTGGCTATCTGCTTCTCTTAAAATTACAGCCGAGAAAACCCTATGGAGCAATTCTACCCTGCCACACAGGGGGTTAGAACCAACTTGACAGAGAGGGGGCAGGCACAGGGCAGGAGGGTAACCTTACTGACTATGCTTTTTAGGGAAAGAATTGGGAGGTAAGTGGAGACCTGGGTGGGATGGCTGAAAGGAGGGAGGTGGGACAAGCGAAGCAGGAGAGATTGATGAGAACATGACATCTGCAAAGGACTTCACAAGAGTCTTTGGTAGGCAGAGATGGAGACAAGAGAGAAGAGTGCTGAGGTCATTCTGGGTGAAGGAACAGAAACCAGGAAGCTTGTCCAGTGAATGGCAAGAAATTCAGTTTATCTGAACTTGGAGTAAGTCCCTTCTGCTTTTCTGTAATGTGAGTGATGGAGTGGACATTGTATAGAAGTTGCTTGTGAGACCTTCCGGCTTTGAGTGTTTGTGATCTATTGTGGCCTGGGGCTGGTGGTGGGCAGGCAGTGCATGAGCCTGAGAGATGCAGAGAACAGGAGTTTGTCTGGACAGTCTCAGCTTCCTAGATTTGGGAAGGCAGTGAGGGGAAGGGCACAAGGAGGAATAAGAAAGGTCTTCAGCACCCTAAGGTGCAGATATCCCTGTCTCAGCTTCCTCCAGGAATAGAAGGGAGAAGGAGCACATCCTTAGTGTATTTAGTCCTGCATTCAAAGCCTATATCCAGGTAAGAAGAATAAGTTTGCTCAGAGGATATGGTCAAGATTCTAGAGAAGTGGTTCTTGAGTATGGGGTCCAGACTACCAGCAGCAGCAGCGTCTGAAAAGGCCAAATTCTCAGGCTCTATCCCCAACATACTCAATCTGAAACTCTAGGGTGGGGCTCAAAAATCTCTATTTCTAATAAGTTCTCAGGTAGTACTGCTGGCCCAGGGACCACACTTCAAGAAGTATTGCCCTAGAGGAGCTTGGATTTTCTCCTTCTTTCTGTTGTAAGGGAAGGAGCTCTGGTAGCATAGTGGATAAGGCATGTGGCTACTAACCAAAAGGTCAGTGGTACAAACCCACCAGCTGCTCCATGGAAGGAAGATTGGGAAATCTACTCTGTAAAGATTCACAGCTTTGGAAACCCAATGGGGGTTACTATGAGTTGGAATTGACTTGATGGCAGTGAGTTTGTGTGTGTGTGTGTGTGTGTGTGTGTTGTCAGTGAGGATTGCTACCAGCAGGACTACCTGCTGTAAGTTTCTGTAAACAGTGGTCAGGACGTGGGGCTGCTACATTGTAGGCTCGGGCTCTATCTTGGAGGGGATGCCATATCACCCTGAAACAGAAATGAGCCTCTAGGACAAGTACCCAAGACAAACTTCAGGGCCATGACAGGGCCTTGGCAATCTGTTTGGTGGCCAGGATGCATTCTGCCCCTTTCTGGTATATGGCCTTGGGCAGGAGTCCTTGGGTGTTGCAAATGATTAGTATGCTTGGCTGCTAACCAAACGACTGGAGTTTAAGCCTACTCAGAGCAGCTTTGAAGGAAAGGCCTAGCAATCTACTTTCAAAATATCAGCCATTGAAACCTCAATGGAGCACGATTCTACTCTGATACAAAGGGTTGCCATGAGTCAGAGCTGACGCAATAGCACCTGTTTTTTGTTTTGTTTGTTTTATTTTTTGTTTTCTGTTTTTTGGGGGGACCTTGGGCAGGTTACCAACATGTCCCAATGTTAGTATGCCCATCTTTGAAGTAGAGACCTCTCCTTCTCTCAGTTGCTATGAGGATTGATGTGT